TGTGACTCAAATAGTAGAGTGGTAGCCTTGAGCAAAAGAACTTAGGGATAGCGCCCAGGCCCTGAGTTCAAGCCCCATGACTGACAAGTAAAAGCCAGAAGTGGTGGTGTGGCTCAAGTAGCAGAGTATGGACTTGAGAAGATAAGGTAGGGCTTGGAATGTGTCTTAGTGGTATAGTGTTTGCCTAGCATGCATGAAGCCCTGGGTTCCATTCCTTAGTACCATATAAACAGAAAAGGCCGGAATTGGCAGTGTGGCTCAAGTGGTAGAGTGCTAGCCTTGAGCAAAAGCAGCTCATGGACAGTGCCAAGGTCCTCAGTTGAAGCCCCAAGACTGGCAAAAAAAAAAGTAGAGAAAGGGAGAAGGGCAAGGAGTGTGTTTTTTGTTGGTTTTGTTAGTTTTTGTTAGCTAGGAATGGAACCCAGGGCTTTGAGCATGGTAGGCAATTACTGTGTCACTGAGCTATACCCCCAGTCTGTCTTTATCTTTTTTGCAAATATATATTAAAATTTTAGATAACATACAAAGGAAAGGCCCCACTGAAAGCATCACGTCTGAATACCTACCTGAAGAGGCTTTGGGGACAATTATGGAAGGGGAAAACAGCCCTGTGGTTCCTTGTACTTGTTAAGACTCTATCCAGAGCTGTGGTCCTTATTTGCTTTCCTTTATGTAATCAGAAATGCAGGCAGAGCTGCCGGTCCCCTCCCAGAGACCCTTCCTTGTCCACCCCAGCTGCTCTCTCTCTACTCTTTTTAAATTTTTGTCAATGGTGGGGCTTGAACTTAGGACCTGGGTGCTGTCCCTGAGCTCTTTTGCTCAAGGCTAGCATTCTAATTTTTGCCACAGTGCCACATCTGGTTTTCTTTCTTTTTTTGCTGGTCCTAGGGCTCATACTCCCTGTGCTCCTTTTTGCTCAAGGCTGGCAGAGCTCTGTCACTTGAGACACAGAGCCACTTCTGGCTTTTTCTGTGATTAATTGGAGATAAAAGTCTCAAGGACTTTCCTGTGCAGGCTGACTTTAAACCTCAGTTCTCAGATCCCAGCCTTCTGAGCTAGGATTATAGGTATATATAGCTGCTCTTTCCACTCTTGGTCCTGCCTCAGTCCTTGCCGCTCACTTTCCATGTCCCTTGCCTATAGTCCGAAGATTTTCCAGAAGACCAAGTGCAGCATCTGTAACAGTGCCTTGGAGTTGCCCTCCGTCCATTTCCTGTGTGGCCACTCCTTCCACCAGCATTGCTTTGAGAGTTACTCAGAAAGTGATGCTGACTGCCCCACCTGCCTCCCTGAAAATCGGAAGGTCATGGATATGATCCGGGCCCAGGAACAAAAACGAGACCTCCATGACCAGTTCCAGCACCAGGTGGGGATGAGTGGGCTCCATGGGATAGAGGTCGCCCCCATCATCACAATTCACCGAGCACTGGAGGGCTTGTTTCCTTTGCTCCCCTTCTTAGGAAATGAGCTTCTCTAGTTGTGATTCTTCTCTCTTTTCCTCTGCAGCTGAAGTGCTCCAATGACAGCTTCTCTGTGATTGCTGACTACTTTGGCCGAGGGGTATTCAACAAGTTGACTCTGCTGACTGACCCTCCCACAGCCAGGCTGACTCCCAACCTGGAGGCTGGGCTGCAGCGGGACCTGCTCATGCACTCCAGGAGGGGCACTTAGGTAGCTCTGGCATAGTGTGTGACCTGGAGGCTCAGCTGGACACAGGTACTGAGACTAGCTGATACTGCACACATAGCAGATGTGTTCACGACTCCAGGATGCCATTGCCCTCACAACTCAAGGGGCCTTGCTTTTCTTGCCCCTTTATTTCTCCAGCCTGCTGTTCTTCCTGTTGACTAGCAGTATAGATTATTACAGACCCGTGGGGGAGGGTACCTCGATAACCTCTGTGTGGACAATAGCTGCTTTATTCTGTATTCAAGGGTACCAGGCTGTGCTTGGGTCCTTATTCTCAGAATGTATAAATAAAAGAATATAATGATGGGAGCCTGGAAGAATTTTTTTCTGAGGACTTTCTGATGAGTCTTAACTGTATTATAGCTCTGTACTAGGCCCCCAGTCTCCTTCCCATGGACTTCTTGGAGGTCATCTCAGTAATGAGTAGCCCTCTAACAGCTAAGAAGTTTCAGCTTGTTAAAAAACCTTTGCAAAAGGTCTACTGAGCTGGGTTCCAGTGGCTCACACTTGTAATCCTGGCAACTCAGGCTGAGATCTGAGGATTGGTGTTCAAAGCCAGCCCCGATAGAAGTCTTTGATACTTATTTCCAATTAACTACCAGAAAAAAGGAAGTAGAGCTGTGGCTCAAGTGGTAGAACACTACCCTTGAGTAAAAAAAAGTTCACTGACAGTGCTTAGGCCTTGATTTCAAGCCCCAGAAACCCTTCTCCCCCCCCCCACCCCACCCCAACACACAGAAAGTCTTAGTGACTTTAGTTCCAAAGTAGCCTGTTTGAGGCTCCCAAAGTAGCTTTTTCTCTTTAGTCTTGCTGGTCTTGATCACGTGCATCAGGAGAAATATTCAGGTGGGAGGCAGACCCTGCAAGGGTATCTTAGGCCTAGCTTGCCTGCAAAATGAGTAGAACAGTGCTTTTTTTTTGGTCCGGTCGTGGGGCTTGAACTCTGGGCTTGGGCGCTGTCCCTCAGCTCTTCAGCTCAAGGTGAGCTCTCTACCACTTGAGCCACAGCACCACTTCCGCTTTTCTAGTGGTTTATTGGAGATGAGTCTCACTAAGTTTCCTGCCCAGGCTGGCTTTGAACCAAGATCCTCAGATCTCAGCCTCCTGAGTAGCTAGGATTGTAGGCGTGAGCCACCAGCGCCCAGCTTAGAACAGTGTTTTTCTTGCTGTAGTTAGTTCCAGATAATAGGCAGGATAAAAATTACGTTATTGATCTGAGTGTGGTGGTTCATGCTCAGGAGGTAGAGATAAAGGAGAATCTACTGAGGCCAGTCCAGGTAAATTCACAAGACCCCATCTCAACTAGTTAAAGCTGCGCATGGTAGTATATGCCTGTCTTCCTAGCTACATGGTGAGTGTAACTAAGAGGAGTGATCAGGTTGGCTCAGATAAACATGTGAGAGCCTGTTGAATACAGCATAATGAAACCCACCAAATGAGATCTGAAAAAGGGGAGAAGGGAGAAATGGGAATATGATGGAGGAGGTAAGTTGTTTTAAGTACTAGTATGTATGTATGTGTGTGTGTATATATATATATATATATATATACACACATACGTGTATATGCATATTTACATATACACATATAGGACATGATTCTGTGAACTCTGGGGTATGAGTTAAAGAAGAGGGGAAAAAGGACTGCAAAATAATTTTGAAATATATTGCAACTATGTATGAAGAAGACAGGGAGGGAAAGAGAGCAACAGGGTTATTCTGATCAAAATATATGCACATCTGAAATACTATGGTGAAAATTCTTGATACAATTAATATGCACTAAAAAAAAAAATGAAGGGGGCTGGGAAGGTGGCTCAGTGGTAGAGTGCTTGCCTTGCATGCCTGAGGCCCTGGGTTCCATTCCTCAGCACCACATAAGCAAAAAGAAAAAAGCCGGAAGTGGTGCTGTGGCTCAAGTGGTAGAGCACTAGCCTTGAGCTGAAGAGCTGAGGGACAGCGCCCAGGCCCAGAGTTCAGGCTCCACGACCGGACCCAAAAAATAAATAAATAAATAAATATGAAGCTGGCACCAGTGGCTTACACCTATAATCCTAGCTATTTAGGGTGCTGACTGGAGGATCTCTATGAGGCCAGTCTGGCCAGAAAAGTCCAATAGACTCCATCTCCAAAATAACCAACAAGAAGCTGGGCTGGAGGTATATTTCAAGGGAATAAAATGCCAGCCAAGCAAGCAAGCCAAACAAGGAAAAGGCCCTGGTACTGGCAAAATTAAAAATAAGAAGCACCAAGGAAATTGCTGTAACTGCTTGTATACTCCAGGTGAAGTCTTCCAAAGCAACTGTGTGTGTGTGTGTGTGTGTGTGTGTGTGTGTGTGTGTGTGTGTGTTTGTGTACTAGGGCTTGAACTCAAGACCTGACCACATTGCCCGGCGCCGGTGGCTCATGCCTGTAATCCTAGCTACTCAGGAGGCTGATATCTGAGGATCGAGGAAAGCCAGCCGGGGCAGGAAAGTCCGTGAGACTCTTTATCGCCAATAAACCACTAGAAAACCGGAAGCGGCGCTGTGGTTCAAGTGGTAGAGCACTAGCCTTGAGCTGAAGAGCTGAGGGACAGCGCCTAAGCCCAGAGTTCAAGCCCCACAACCGACAAAAAAAAAAAAAAAAAAAAGACCTGAGCACTGTCCCTTAGCTTTTTTGCTCAAGGCGAGCACTCTACCACTCCAGACACAGCTCAACTCCTGGCTTTTGCTGGTAATAGGAGTCCCAGGAGATGGCTGGCCACCATGCCTTGCTTAGTGGCCATGTGTGTGTGTGTGTGTGTGTGTGGCCGTGTGTGTGGCCGTGTGTGTGTGTGTGTGTGTGGCCGTGTGTATGTGTGTGTGATGCCCAGACGGCTGGCCACCATGCCCCGCTTAGTGGCTGTGTGTGTGTGTGTGTGATGCCCAGGGGCCACCATGCCCCGCTTAGTGGCTGTGTGTGTGTGTGTGTGATGCCCAGGGGCCACCATGCCCCGCTTAGTGGCTGTGTGTGTGTGATGCCCAGGGGGCATCGTATCTTCTAACCCTGCATTTTAGGGTTCATAGGCCCTCCTTTCCCTCTGGGGCCTGGCTAATTTCTAGTGAATTAACTACCCCTTAGGGTGGTCGGACAGAAGCTTGACAAGGACACTTCACAGTACAACTCGGAAGCACGTCGTGCTAACAGGCCAGCAGTACTTCAGGATAGGGGAAGCGGTGACAGACCTGGGTCTGAGCGCGCATGCCCCTGGGGTGAGCCGGGAGGACCCGGGGAAGCCAGGACCGCTGGGTGTCAATCATCCTAGTTCCCGCCCCTTCCAGGGGCGCCGGACGTGACGCAGAGCTCCTCGCGAGTCCTGCAGTCAGGCCGTGGGTCGAGCTCGGGCCCCATGTGCCGTCAGTCCCCACCAGCCTGAGCCTCCGGCCTCCGCCGACCCCAGGAAACCTTGGCAGCACCACGCGGCCCCACTCCAGAAGAGACATGTCTGGTAACGGCGGTGTGGCTGTAACGGCGGTGAGTCCTGAGCCGGTGAACTGCACATGGGGCTTCCGGGCGACCCGTGCAACGATTGGCCCCCCAGTTCCCACCCTCCGCCATCCATTGGTCAGAAGGGCTGTCTGTCATCTGTCTCCACCCGCGTATAGCTTTTAAAGGGCCAGTAACTAGTTTGCCCTCAGGAAGGTACGAGGAGATCTGTGACCCAGTGAAGTGGGGTTAAGAGTGGAAGGATGGTGTCCTGTGGGGCCTCTATTCCTTCAGGCTTTTAGGTGGAGGGTGGGGGCTGGAGGGTTGGGGATGGACTCCCACCCACGGCTAGGAATGCACGACCTAGTGACCCAGCCAGTAAAGTTGGTCTACACAGACGGTCCTGTCACTGGACATGGCCGATATGGACGTGGGCCACCGTGAGGGCACCCTCCCAAGCGTTCTGACTGCGCGCGCGCACGCACACACACACACACACACACACACACAATTTTGAAAGTGCGCCTCCTCCCCTTCTCCGTTATGGCAGTGACTCAGCTCCAGCTACTGTCAAAGTCCCCAGCTAAGATAGGCCACTGAGTTACCACCGCACCTGAAGTCCCCCCGAGCTTTCACACTGCTAGCTTGCCTGTGACGCTCTGGGCTTCAGCAAGCAAAATTACAGAGCAATCAAACCACACAGTGGTACAGGCACTGCCGGCCTGAGATAAGGCAGAGAGGGGCACCTCCTTATCTTCTCCTATCCAGCCTGTTGTTTGCCAGTGGAGACATTCCAGGGCACCGGGCTAGGAGGAGGAGGGCCTGGTATTTCAGCACTAGCTCTCTGCCCATTATTTGCTGTGTGTCTTATCATTTCACCCCTTTGCCTCTGTAACACATTGTGGGAGAGGTACCCACCTGCTCTACTACATCTGTTGCTGTGAGGACAATCATATGCCATAGCAGAAGCACCGAAGTGATCAGCGAAGTATAGGTTGAGGCAACAATGTGAATTGAATATACTGTTCAAATTTGATAAATTTAAAGACTTTTAAACTTGTAATTCTGCAGCCTTAGATTCCTTCCTTTCTGTAGGCTCCCCGTGGCCTTGAATTTTATTGTGTGTGTGTGTGTGTGTGTGTGTGTGTGTGTGTGTGTGTGTGTGTGTGTGTGTGTGTGTGTGTGTGTGTGTGTGTGTGTGTGTGTGTGTGTGTGTGTGCATGCACACCCTTGAATTCAGGGCCTGGATGCTGTCCCTTAGCTTTTTTGCCCAAGGCTGGTGTTCTACCATTCGAGCCACAGCTTCACTTTCTGGCCTAGAATTTTAGTGACAGGGTTTAGCATTTCAGGCCTAGATAGATTTTCAGTGTCCACCCAGCCTGATTTATTGGAGGAGTGAGAGCACTGGAATGGACTGGTGTCTGGGAGCAGCAGGCTCTCCCCTCCTCCAGTGACAGAGGTCCCAGATGTCTCACTGCAAAAGCACCTATAAAAAAATAAAGATCCTAGGGCAGGGAAAGCTGATATTTTCTACAGTGGCTCCTTCTGATAAGAGAAAGAATAAGACCTCTGGCTCAGACTAAAAGACTAGTTTTGCCTGCTGGGCACTGAATGCTTTTGTCCAAAGTGCCCTGGCAGGAGGAAGAGGTGTGTCCCTTTGAGTTCTTAGCTTGAACTCTAATACCCCAACATTTACCTATTGGTGAAGCTAGAGGCAGCACTGTAGGCAAATGAATGTCAGACAGTTCAGCCTTAGTCTTATATGACATCCAGACAGAAGAAGCTCTTCATTTCATAAATGAATGAACTGGCCCTGTTGAGACCATATACCTAAGACTTCCAGCCAGTGGACTGACTGAGCAAGACCGTATATCACCAGTTGACTCCAGTTCCACAGAGATACATTTCAGTCAAACTAATGGATCCTTAGTGTGGTGGCTGTGGGCGGTACCTCTTGGTATCTGGATGGAAGTAATATTTTTGAGGGCCTGCTCTGTTGTGGATAGAAAGCCTTTTCCCCAATGATGTGTGCTGTGGCTATCCGACCCCAGCCTGCTGCAGGCCCCGCCCTCCTTGTGACCAGGCTGATGGGCCTTATCTCTTTCCACACCTGGCCATGTGCAGCCTTCCCACTGAGAAGTATCTTGGCCGGGGTGAGCTTGGGGGATCAGTGTCCTGGTTACCACACTGCTGCTGCCACATCAGCAGAACCGACTGCCAGTGTCCCTCTGCTTCTCTGGATCCTAGAGGAGGACAGAGGTGCTGAGGAAGTGTAAGAGACCAGTCTTAGAATATTTCCTAACCCAGAGGCTCAGGTGGCCACACAGCAGAGGTCGTTCTAAGCCAATAGTTCTGGTTCTTGGGAAGGGTCCTGGTGAAGAGGGGACTGTGACCTGGGGACTTTTTCTGCAGGAAGAGAACAACTTGAAGATGAGAGTGGTTCGAGTGGGTACCCGTAAGAGCCAGGTAAGTGCCGTCATGGGGCAGAGAAGCTCTGTCTTAGGTAGTATACTCACGGGTCACAAGGTGATGGGCCCCAAGGGCTAATTTCTAGCACAGAGGAAACAGAATGGCTGAGAGTAAGATCTCAAGGGGAATGGCAGAATGTGTTCTGTGGAAATGGAGTCCAAAAACTGAGGAAGTTGTTGAGGTGTAGAGATCACCCTCACCCCTCTCATTCCCAGGTAGGAATTCCAATTCCTTTAGATTCTCCTTGACCCTATGAGAATGTGAGGTTGGGACAGTGTCCAGGAAAAGGGAGGACTAATCTGAATCTCCGTCCCCAGCTGGCTCGCATACAGACAGATACTGTGGTAGCAATGCTGAAAACCTTCTACCCTGGCGTGCAGTTTGAAATCAGTAAGTTTCTGGAGAGGAATGGAAGTTGGTGGGACACCAGTGCTGCCAGAAGGGAGAACAGAGTTTCTGCTTTACTGTGACCAAAACCAGGGTGCTGACCTCTCAGAGGTCTTCTTGGTGGCTCCCAGTGGGAGGGAGCCAGTTCTCTGAACACCTTTGACTGATTTCGTGGGCTAGCTTGGCATTTACCTTCTCCTGCCTTTGGATCTTTTTTTTTTTTTTTTTGGGTCCGGTCATGAGGCCTGAACTCTGGCCCTGGGCGCTGTCCCTCAGCTCTTCAGCTCAAGGCTAGTGCTCTACCACTTGAGCTACAGTGCCACTTCCAGCTTTTTTCTTTTTGCTTATGTGGTGCTGAGGAATCGAACCCAGGGCCTCATGCATGCAAGGCAAGCACTCTACCACTGAGCCACCTTCCCAGCCCCTGGATCTTTTTCTTTCTCCTTCTTCTTCTTTCTTTTTTTTTTTGGTCAGTCATGGGGCTTGAACTCTGGGCCTGGGTGCTGTCCCTCAGCTCTTCAGCTCAAGGTGAGTGCTCTACCACTTGAGCCACAGCACCACTTCTAGTTTTCTGGTGGTTTATTGGAGATAAGAGTCTTATGGACATTCCTGCCTGGGCTGGCTTTGAACTGTGATCCTCAGATCTCAGCCTTCTAAGTAGCTAAGATTACAGGTGTGAGCCACCAGCGCCAGGCTCCTTGGGTCTTTTTCTGAATTTGCTTCCCTGCTAGATCATACATTTTTCATGGACAGGGACTGGCACTTACGTCCCTCCGTCCCTACCATGAATCTCAGCATAGTACTGAGCACTGAGTACTAAGCACAGTAGGGCCTCAGTAAATGCTGATTAATGAGCACCTGATTGATTGGCTCTCTCCTCAGTTGCCATGTCCACCACAGGAGACAAGATACTTGACACTGCACTCTCTAAGGTAACATCTTCTTCTCTGTCCCCGTACCCCCTCTTTCTCATAAGACATTCACCCTAATACTCTTTCTACCTGGCAGATTGGGGAAAAGAGCCTGTTTACCAAGGAGCTGGAGTACGCTCTGGGGAAAAATGAGTAAGTAAAGACCCGAGATATGTGACAGCCCTGCACTCCTTTGTGAGGCTCACTCCCACCCCCAGTGAACTGCAGCTCAAGATATCAGCAAGACTGCTGGCTTCGATCCACATCCTGGTGGGGTTCAGGCTTCCAAAGATAGTGTTGTTGGAACCATCTGAGCTGTCTGGAGTGCAAGATTAGCTGGGACAATGTGGTAGAAGGAAAGGTGGGAACAGAGCAGAGCTCAAGGTCCTGAGGTATTAAGAAGGCCCCTTCCTTCCTTCCTTCCTTCCTTTCTTCCTTCCTTCCTTCCTTCCTTCCTTCCTTCCTTCCTTCCCTTCCCTCCCTCCCTCCCTTCCTTCTTTCTTTCCTTCTTTCTTTTTTCCTTCTTTCCTTCTTTCTTTCCTTTCCTATTTTTCTTTCCCTCCTTCCTTCTTGCTTGCTTTCTTTTTTTTTTTTTTTTGGTTGGTCATGGAGCTTAAACTCTGGGCTTGGGCGCTGTCCCTCAGCTCAAGGCTCAAAGCTAGTGCTCTACCACTTGAACCACAGCGCTACTTCCGGTTTTCTCATGATTAATTGAAGATAAGAGTCTCATGGACTTTCCTGCCTGGGCTGGCTTTGAACCATGATCTTCAGATCTCAGCCTCCTGCATAGCTAGGATTATAGGCGTGAACCACTGACACTTGGCTGGCCAGACTGCCTGCCTTCCTTCCTTCCTTCTTTCTCTGTTTATGTGGTATTGAGGAATGGAACCCAGGGCTTCACACATGCAAGGCAAGCACTCTACACTAAACATTCTAAGCCCCAGGCCTGTTTCTTTCTTTCTTTCTTTCTTTTTTTTTTTTTTGGGTCCAGTCGTGGGGCCTGAACTCTGGGCCTGAACTCTCAGCTCTTCAGCTCAAGGCTAGCACTCTACCACTTGAGCCACAGTGCCTCTTCTGGCTTTTTTTTCTGCTTATGTGGTGCTGAGGAATTGAACCCAGGGTCTCATGCATGCAAGGCAAACTCTACCACTGAGCCACCTTCCCAGCCCCCCCGCCCCCCAGGCCTGTTTCTTGAATTAACTTCCACTACTGACGTGGAGACAGGGGCTGCTGTTCAAGCCCCTTTTCCATGTTCCCCTCTCTCATCTAGAGTGGACCTGGTTGTTCATTCCCTGAAGGACCTGCCTACTGTGCTACCTCCTGGCTTCACCATTGGAGCCATCTGCAAGTAAGAGTCCAGCAAGCAAAGGGCCAGGGAGAAGGCTGTCCTCCTGGGAGCTTTGGCTCTTTCCTCTGGGGCTTAGCCCTCTGTCCTCAAGCCTGGCAGAAACTCAGGAAATTGTTGGTGGATTAGCTGTTGAGAGAATGGAGGTGACCTGAAGTATCCTCCCTTATTCTGTGACTTTCCCTTGTTCCCCAGGCGAGAAAACCCCTGTGATGCTGTTGTCTTTCACCCCAAATTTGTTGGGAAAACCCTAGAAACCTTGCCAGAGAGGAGGTAAGCAGGACCTGGATGGGCATTCATGCTTCTGGGTATCACAGAGGATGGAGGGGCAGGAGGAGGAAGAGAAAAGGAACAGGGACTGACTAGTGTTAAATTTCACCTTAAATCCTCTCTCTTGAGCAGTGTAGTGGGGACCAGCTCCCTTCGGAGAGCAGCTCAGCTGCAGAGAAAGTTCCCACATCTGGAGTTCAAGAGTATTGTATCCTTTTAAAATTCAGAGGGAAAAACTGGGAGAAGGAAAGGAAGGAGTGACATTGTCCAAAAACAAATGTATTCATTACCTGACTTAGGTAACTGTAACTGCTCTACACATCACCTTTATAGTAACCAAAAAACAAAAACGAACAAACAAAAAAACTCCGTAAAATTAAGAGTAAAAGGGCTGTAGTGAAGAGTGAAGGAGAAGACAAGGCCGGTTTGGAGGGTCCTCGGATCGTCCAAGGGGCTTCCAAGGATGGCACTTCCAGAGAAAGTAGCCCATAGTGGGGCACTGGGCTGTCTTTCCTTCCATCCATGCATCCATCCACAGCCCTATAATGGTTTAGCCCCAGGCAGGTGCCTGGCACCAGGGAAATGGAAGGATAAATATTTTTTTTTTTTTTTCGGTCGTGGGGCTTGAACTCTGGGCCTGGGCGCTGTCCCTCAGCTCTTCAGCTCAAGGCGAGCGCTCTACCACTTGAGCTACAGCGCCACTTCCGTGGAAGGATAAATATTGTCCTGTTTGTAAGAATTGGCGTGTTTAGGAGACAGACAGGCATTAACAATACAGCATGGTACCGACCTGTGATTAGTTCACGGGGAAGGGGGAATAAAGGGTACTTCCATTTTTACTGTACATGCAATTACAGTGTGTTTATTTATTTATTTGTCTATCGTGGGGCTTGAACTCTGGGCTTGGGCGCTGTCCCTCAGCTCTTCAGCTCAAGGCTAGTGCTCTACCACTTGAGCCACAGCACCACTTGTGGCTTTTTCTGCTTATGTGGTGCTGAGGAATCCAACTCAGGGCCTCATGCATGCAAGGCAAGAACTCTACCACTGAGCTACCCTCCCAGCCCCATTTTTATTTTTATGTGAATATGTAGTGTATTTAATAAAACTAATTAAAAAAAACACAGTGTGCTATGCGATGGGCAAAGAAGCATATTTACAGGAAGCCTCTAGTTGGAACTTAGGGTTTTTTTGTTTTTTGTTTTGCCAGTTATGGGGCCTGAACTCTGGGCCTGGGCGCTGTCCCTCAGCTCTTCAGCTCAAGGCTAGTGCTCTACCATTTGAGCCACAGTGCCACTTCAAGCTTTTTCTGCTTATGTGGTGCTGAGGAATCGAACCCAGGGCCTCATGCATGCAAGGCAAGCACTCTACCACTGAGTCACCTTTCCAGCTTAGTTGGAACCTCTTAAACAGAGTTGAGGGTTTCCTAGACTTGAACACATATTTTTTTTTTTTTTTTTGGGGGGGGGGGTACCAGTCCTGAGGCTTGAACACAGGGCTGGGCACTGTCCTTGAGCTTCTTTTGCTCAAGGCTAGCACTCTATCATTTGAGCCACAGCTCCACTTCTGGCCTTGTTTTTAGTTTTAATTGGAGATAAGCTTCATGGCCCTTATTGCCTGGGCTGGCTTTGAATCACAATCCTAAGATCTCAGCCTCCTGAGTTGCTAGGATGACAGGAAGGAGCCGCCAGTGCCTGGCTAGAGGAAGATTATTTAACCTCTCTGTATCATTGTCCCCACCTATCAAGCAGGAATGATAGTCATTCCTTCTTCATAAGCTTGTGGAGAAAATGAAATGATTTGACATAGAGCATTTTAGGCCCGGTGGTTATGATGAAGCTGAGAAGTGGAAAATGAGTAGGTGTCATCCAGACAGAGGGAAAGAGACTGTGGCTGAGTAGCCAGCATGTGGCTCCTTACTGTCCTTAGCAATTCTCCACAGCGAGGAAACCTCAACACCCGGCTTCGGAAGCTGGATGAGCAACAGGAGTTCAGCGCCATCATCCTAGCTGTAGCTGGCCTGTACCGCATGGGCTGGCAGAACCGAGTGGGGCAGGTAGGAGCTGACCTTTCCCCTCTTGCGTCAATCTGCATCTCCCTTGTGGATGGTCTTTGGAGGCTGGGCTACAGCTTTTGTCCCCAGGGTTTCTAGAAGCTAGATAAGCCCTCTGTCATGACTGAGTGCTTTGGAGCACTCCCATCCCCATCTTCGGACTGTTCTATCTCCACAGATTTTGCATCCTGAAGAATGCATGTATGCTGTGGGTCAGGTAAGTCTGATGGGGGAAACCACTGTGAATGTGCCCTTCCCTTTGTTCTCAATCACAAACCTGGTCTCACCCCCTTTGACATCTTCCCCCGGAATAAATTTGCAGGGAGGAACAAGCCTTGGGCTGCAAAAAAGTGCTGGGAGCAGATGTAAGAGGGCTGGTTCCTACCCTTAAAGGACTAAGGGCATTGTTCAAGTGGTAGAGTACCTGCCTAGGAAGCTCAAGGCCAAGTTCAAACCTGAGCTGCCAAATAAAAAGGGAAGTGCCATGGATTAGGGAAAGAACAGGCAAGGTGTATGTGCAAGGCTGGCTTTTATGTTCACCAGGGGGCCCTAGGTGTGGAAGTCCGAGCCAAGGACCAGGATATTTTGGATCTAGTGAGTGTGTTGCATGATCCAGAGACTCTGCTTCGCTGCATCGCCGAAAGAGCCTTCCTGAGGCATCTGGTAGGGCATGAGATCTCCCTGGGAAGGGGTGGGGGCTTGGAGAGTGAGGAAAGGCTGTGGAAGGAGTTGGTGAGTAAGTGCTCTGTATGCAGTGGTAACTGGTTTTTGTTGAATGTGGGGAATAGAGAGAACTCAGGTGTGGGACCAGCAGCCTTTTCAGTTGTGTCCTCAGAGCTTTGTCTCTTGAGGGCTCTCGGATCTCACAGGTACTCCTTATTTCAGGAAGGAGGCTGCAGTGTGCCAGTAGCAGTCCATACAGTGATGAAGGATGGGCAAGTAAGCAGGGCAGAACTGGTGGGAGGACAGGAGGATTCCTACTGAACATCCCAGGTTTTTAAGCAGTCCCTTCTTAGTAAATGCTGAGGCAACTCCTCTGTTTCACAGCTGTACCTGACTGGTGGAGTCTGGAGTCTAGATGGTTCAGATAGCATGCAGGAGACCATGCAGACCACCATCCACGCTCCTGCTCAGGTACCAAGAGCTGGATGGTCGGAGGGAATGCATGTCACCTTCCCTTTCAATACCACTAAGCCCCACCTTCCTCTCATCCAGCATGAAGATGGCCCAGAGGATGACCCGCAAATGGTAGGCATCACTGCTCGAAACATTCCACGAGGAGCCCAGCTGGCTGCTGAGAACCTGGGCATCAGCTTGGCCAGCTTGTTGTTGAACAAAGGAGCCAAGAACATCCTGGATGTTGCACGGCAGCTTAACGATGCCCGCTAACTGGTCTGTGGGGCGCAGGGTACCTGGATTGTCATTTTCAGTGCCTCCATCTGGGTTTCAGTACCCTGTACTCACTAGCTGGGATGTGATTACTCCAGGAGATTCAACTACTGCCTGAGGCTGGCAGCCACACATCTCACCTTGGGGCCTTGTTGACTGTCTTGCCTCCTAAATAGATGGGGGCTTCATCTCTTTAGACAGAAGTCTAAACCACAGCCTTTGAATGTAAGCAGCTATGAATGAACTGGCCTTGAAAGTGGCCATTTTGATGAGGTTTAGGAGACAAATAAATCCAAAGCTCTTTCAGTCCTTCTAAGTCTGAAACCTTTGTTTAAAAACTTCTGGAACAGCTTTTGCTTCAGCCTCAATAGTCCTAATTCCAATGTTGCCTCACAGGGGAAATCCACAAAACAAGAGAAAACAGCCTTAATACCCTTGGCTTGCCTGGTGTGGGGGGCCAAGCCTAAAATCCCAGCATTTGGGAAATAGAAGACTGTGGGTTCAAGTCCAGCCTGAGCTACAATGACCATGACTCCAAATAACCAAAATAAATGAAAATCCTATGTCTTATTCCTTCTCCAGCTAATAGTGAAGTTTATTTGTTAAGACAACCTCTTCCACCCCCACTGCCTTAGAAATTAGTTATCCTATAGCTTGCAAAATGAAGACACTTCACTTTTAAAAAACAACAATCCTTTAATAAACAAAATTAGCCCATGTGAAACTCCCCAATACTTTAAGGTTCTAGTCTTGGATGGGTTAGCTGCAAAGTCCCAGTTCGGAAGCCCAGAGGCTCAGTCCAGACGGGTTTGTGCTGGTATCTTGTTGAGGCGCTGGGAGGAAAATGGGTGCCTAGGCCCACGGGCCAGCTACCAGTCTCGGCACAAACAGCTCTGTTGTCCCACACGGCAGTCGCGAACGCAAACCGGAGGCCCTTGCCCTCTTACACACTTCGCAGGAGGCAGGCGGCAGGCTGGCCTGAAGAAAGCTGCTTGTTCCCGCGTCGTCCCGGTCAGGGTGCACGGGCCCATGAATGAAGATGGAGGGTGATCCGGTGTGAAAGCCTCGGGACTCGGCAGCAAGGGGGTAGCGCGGACACCAAAATAAATGAGTGAATCCTCTCCCACCAAAGCCTGGAAGCCAGCAGTCACGTCTGAAGTCCTGGCGAGGGCTAAGCACCAAGCTGAGGAAATAACCGCCAGCCTCTTCGCCTTAGCTGCCCATCTCGGCCCTGCGTCAGAGCGCAAGGCCAAGGGTTCCAGAAGGTGCGGCGGCCGCGCCGCAGCCCGTCAAGTCATTCCGAGGATGGGGGGTCGGGTCACGAGCCGCGCGGCGGGCGGGTGTGGCGGATCGCCCCCTCCCCTCCCGCAGGCGGGCCGGGACCCAGGCCCGCGGCGCCGCGGCAGGCCATGCGGGCGCGGGGGAGGGGAGGGGACGCGCGGCGGCGGCGGGGGCGACGGGGGCGCGAGGAGAGGGGAGCGGGGGGGGACCGGAGGGGGGCGGCGTGGCGGCCCGGCCGCCCCGCGCCCGAGGCGGCTCAGCTCTTCCGGTGAGGGCGGTGGTGGCCCTTAAAAGGGCCTTTGTGGTGGCATGGAGGGCGGGGGGCGGGCCGCGGCCGGCGCCCCTCAGTACTCCTGCGAGGCCTGGGTGCCCTTCTTGCCGCTCGCCGGCGCCTTCGGCCCCACGGTGGCGCTCGTCTTCTTGGGCAGCAGCACGGCCTGGATGTTGGGCAGGACGCCGCCCTGCGCGATCGTCACGCCGCCCAGGAGCTTGTTGAGCTCCTCGTCGTTGCGGATGGCCAGCTGCAGGTGGCGGGGGATGATGCGCGTCTTCTTGTTGTCGCGGGCCGCGTTGCCCGCCAGCTCCAGGATCTCGGCCGTCAGGTACTCGAGCACCGCCGCCAGGTACACCGGCGCGCCGGCGCCCACCCGCTCGGCGTAATGGCCCTTCCGCAGCAGCCGGTGGACGCGGCCCACCGGGAACTGGAGGCCGGCGCGGGAAGAGCGCGACTTGGCTTTGGCGCGGGCCTTACCGCCGGTCTTGCCGCGGCCGGACATGGTGCGCGAGGTAGACAGGGGAAGATGGACGCCTGAGAGCCTCCAACCGCCACTCGCCGCAGTCCAACTGTCGCCGAGCGTGCCTCGAGCTCCCCTTATAAGCTCTCAGGGCACACCCCTGCGCCCTCCTGACTGGTTCGTTTCTCTAACCCTGCCCCTGATTGGCTGCGGTTAACACTTCCGTAACGTGCGTCGGAGGAGGAAGCGCGCCCTACGATTGGTCGAATTTGAAAACCTTTTGCCCGGGGAACCTGCGTGGAAGAGTGACGACGTGCAGATAGCCCACCCCTTCCTGATAGAGCCAATCCGTGTAAAGCGCGCGAGATTTAAATGCTATCGCCAGACCGGAGATCCGGAAGACAAAAGGTTGGAATCTGGAGTTTCTGCCAGATCTATGCTGCCATAGGATTTAAAAAGGGGTCCGGCCGGCTGCCCGTGGATCACACCTGTAATCCTAGCTACTCAAGAGGCTATGATCTGAGGACCGCGATTTCGATCCCAGCCTGGGCAGAAAAGCCAGTGAGACTCTCATCACCAATTAACTACCAAAAACCAAGAAGTGGAACCGTGGCTCAAGCGCTAGGGGCTGGGAATGTGAGCAAAAAGAAGCTCAGGAACAGTGCTCAGGCCCTGAGTTCAAGCTCTAGGACTGGAAGAAAAAAAAAATAATAAGGGGGACAGTATCCACTCAGAACCCCTGAGTTCAAGCCCAAGACTGTCACAAGAAAAAAAAAGGTAAATACTATACAGTATAGTATATAGTATATATACTATACAGTATATCTCTGCCTCCTTAGATCTAACAGAAACAATACACGAGAGAAAAATAAAACTCGGGGTCAGTCCTATTCCAGAAGACATGTCTTAATGACCTTCCATGCCAACTGAAGGAGGAGCACTTTATATATTTGTCAGTCTTGAAGCTTGAACTCAGAGCCTGGGTGCTCTGGGTGCTGTCCCTAAGGTTTTCTGCTCAAGGCTAGTGCTCTACCACTTTGAGCCACAGTGCCACTTCTGGTTTCCTTGTGGTTAATTGGAGATAAGAGTCTCACAGGGGCTGGGAAGGTGGCTCAGTGGTAGAGTGCTTGCCTTGCATGCCTGAGGCCCTGGGTTCAATTCCCCAGCACCACATAAGCAAAAAGAAAAAAAGCCAGAAGTGGCGCTGTGGCTCAAGTGGTAGAGTGCTAGCCTTGAGCTGAAGAGCTGAGGGACAGCCTTCAGGCCCCACGACAGGACCCCCCCCAAAAAAAAAAAAAAAAAAAGTCTGCCTGGGCTGGCTTTGAACCATGATTCTCAGATCTCAACCTCCTGAGTAGTGAGGAGTACAAGCATGAGCCACCAGCACTCGAGTATTTTTATTTTTTTCAACATATTCTTCCTGATCTCAGTTCACTATTTATGATGGTATGGGGTTTAAACTCGGGGCCTCTGGCTCTTGCTCAACTTTTTTTGCTTATGGCAATATACCACTGCACCTCCAGATAGTCTTGTGGACTTTTCCTGCCTGGGTTGGCTTCAAATGGCAAGACCTCAATTCTCAGTCTCCTGAGAAGCTAAAATTACATAAGTGTGAACCACTGGTGTTTGGCTTCTATAATTTATTAGAGAGGATCAAATAGAGCAGAGGTATCCTCCCTAATTTATTCACCCTACTTTATATATCTTTATATTTATATGTATGTATATGTATATTTATATATGTATATGTATAATATATCCTAATTTATTCACCCTACTTTTTTTTTTTTTTTTGGTCGGTCATAGGGTTTGAATTCTGGGCTTGGGTGCTGTCCCTGAGCTCTTGAGCTCAAGGCAAGTGTTCTACCACTTGATGCACAGAACCACTTCTGGTTTTCTTGTGATTAATTGGAGATAAGAGTCTCACAGACTTTCCTGCTTGGGCTGGCTTTGAACCGCAATCCTCAGATCTCAGCCTCCTAAGTAGCTAGGATTACAGGTATGAGCTACTGGCTCCCAGCTCACCCTACTTTACACACACACACACACACACACACACACACACACACACACACACACACACACACACACACACACACCCCTCCTAATTTATTCTGTCAGTATAGAAACTACCTTGGCTGGGATATAGCTCAGTGGTAGAGCACTTGCCTATCACATGGAGACCCTGGGTTCATTCCCCAGCCCTGAAGTGGGGGGGGGGGGGAGAGGAAATATACCTGTAGGAACAAGAAAAAGGTAATACTTTATTGTCACTTTTGGGAGCACTGGGCCCTGCATCTGCTCTAATCAAACACATAATTTATAGTCAAATATAAAGTTGTCTATGGTCCTAGCCCTAGTCCAGGTTCTATGTCAAGGCTCAGCATATACCTCAAGTCAGGAATTTGGAAGTTGAGTTACAGATATCTGCAGAAAAGCTGCTGTGTCCCACCTTAGGAGCCTGCAAAGATGGAATGGAGAGAAAGTAGCAAGTTGAGGAAAGCCACAGGCAAAATCTAATCATCATTAGGAGGCCTGAAAGGTCCAGGATGTCATTGATGAGAGCAAAATCTCGAGGAGAATAAAGAATGGGAGAGTCTGGGCCAGGAGTCATCAGTCTTAGACCAGACAGAGGTTGGCCTATGTCAGGCTCCCTGGAGACTTGTGAGGCAAAAGGGAATTCAGACATCATAGAAGAGTCTGACAAGCTGGTATCGAATGGAGAAGGTGACAGCGCTGCCCAGGATCTGCAAAGAGAAAGGGTCTGGAATAAGAACCAAAGGAAGGGAGTCAAGGAGGTACAAACCCCATCCTTGCCCTCACCTGAAGCAGCAACAGGAGCAACGTGAGGTTTCTCTCATGGATGGGCCCAAAGACTTTAAGTAGCAAGTTGATGAGAGTCAAGTTGTTACACTCAGTGAAAGCACCATCCTCATCCTCACTGTGTCGCACTGTGACTAGCTGGAGGTTCTCTGCTACCTGGGGGACCAGAGTTAGAAAGAACTTGAGCTAATACCAGTGTTCCAGGAATGGGGGTCTACTTGATGCTTCCAAGGTCCCCTTGAGTCTGATGTAGGCCTAGGATCCCATTCCCCCAAGCTTAGGATGGTGGCCTGGGGCCTTACCTCCTTGTTACCTAGTTACCTTTAATACAAAGGTGCCCAAGAAAGAGAGGCTCTTGGTCTTGAACTTGGAATAGCTCATCTCCAGTTTGCCTGTCTTGGTATTGAGTCTGCAGGGGGAAGACAGCTTTACGTGACTAGACCACTACTCAAAAAACTCTCCTCCCTGTGGATAATTACCAGGAAGAGCAATGAAAGTGGAATCAAATAACCTGAGATCTATTTGTCTCTGTTGCTTACTCCTATGTGATCAGAACTGATGTGAACATTCAGATTATGTATGTAAATGTGCTTGTAAATTATAAAGGGCCTACTTCCTTTACATAGGGAATGCAGATGCTATTTTTAGATATCCCAAGTGAAAAGCTATGATATCCCTTCCAAGACCCAAAGTGGCTACCTGGGCATACGGTGGCGAGGGCAGGGAATGATGCGCAGGAGCTGAGGCAGTGAATAGAGGAAGTTGAACACCTGTGGCATGAAGAACAGTAGCATGGTCTTGCTGAAGTGTCCCAAGATGCCCACCACGGCAAAAGTCATGCCAGCGAAGTAACAGAAGGTATCTCCCACAAACACCCGTGACGGGTACCTGTGTGGGGAAGAGCATCTGAGCCAACAGCAAGAAGCATTACTAACTTTTCCTCTCACATCACACATCTGGATACCGAGCTTGCCTTGACCTTGGGTTCTGACTACAGACACAACAGCTGTCTCAGCATCTCTGCAGGACCCAAGGCCCCCAATTCATCTATTCCAGGGACTCCACAGCCCTAACTATCGCTAGGTAGAGGGTGATTTCAGAACACTACCGGGCTGAAGTTGCAGCTCAATGGTAAGTCACTTGGTTGGCATGTAGGAGGCTATGAATGTGATCCCTAGCGCCTTTGGGGGGTGGAGGGTCTAGGGGAATGACAGGCTATAACAACTGAAGACACAGAAAATACTTAGCAAAAGTATGCACAAGTTTAGTCTCTCTATAAGGATCGAGACCATCTTTTGCCACATGTTCCGACATCTGTCTCCTGAATCCATAGGCCTACTTACCAGTTATGGTAGAGCAATCCCAAGGTGGTGAAAAAAAAGGGGATCATGAAGTAGAGAGAAAAGACATGATCATCTCGATAATCACCTTTGGAAAAGAAGGGAAAGTGAACACAAGCCCTGCATACCATGGGCCTATTTTTGTCTGTCTCTAAGTTCTAGTCCCAGTTGTATCATCCATTCACCCAAGTCATTTTCTCTTTTAACTCTCTTTTTAAAACTAGCATATATTAATTATATAAAGAAGTTTCACTGGGATTATTTCCATATATATGTGTTTTTAATGTACTTGAATCAAATTTACCCCTTCAGGGGGACATTGGTGGCTCATGTCTATAATCCTAGCTATTCAGGAGGCTGAGGTCTGGGGATCAAGGTTCTAAGGCGGCCTGGGCAGAATCTGCAATTACCCAGCAAAATGTTGGTCTAGAAGCATGGCTCATAAAAAAGCAGTGCGAGCAGAAGGCCCTGAGTTCAAGCCCTGATTAGCACCAAAACCAACAACAACAACAAAAATCACCTCCCCTCCTTCATCTAAGTCATGTTTAAAACACAACTTTTTTTTTTTTTTTTCCTTTTTGGTCAGTCCTGGGGCTTGAACTCTGGGCTTGGGCGCTGTCCCTGTGCTCTTCAGCTCAAAGGGAGCACTCTACTGCTTGAGCCACAGCGCCACTTCCGGTTTTCTAGTGGTTTATTGGAGATAAGAGTCTCAGGAACTTTCCTGCCTGGGCTGGCTTTGAACCGTGATCCTCAGATCTCAGCCTCCTGAGTAGCTGGGATTACAGGCGTGAGCCACCAGCGCCTGGCTTCAACTATCTTTTTTTTAAATGTCACACAGTTTCCAGTATTTCACCACTTTCATGAAGCCTCCACAACTAATGTATGGGTAGGCACTGACGACTCATGCCTGTCATCCTAGCTACTCAGGAGGCTGAGATCTAAGGGTCACAGTTCAAAGCTGGCCTGGGCACGAAAGTCCAAGAAACTCCTATCTTCCAATTAATCACCAAAAAGCCAGAAATGGAGCTTGACCTGTGGCTCAAGTGACAGAGCACTAGTCTTGAACAAAAAAAGCTCAGTGACAGTGACCAGGCCTTGAGTTAAGCCCCAAGACTGGCACCAAAAACAAAACAAAACACCTAATGAATGACTTAAAGTTGGTTTAGACATTCTGACCTAGGTTTGAATACTAGCTTCACTTCCTAGCAGTGTGACCTTGAATATGACACATTTACCTTCTCTAAGACTCTTATTTTCTCATCTGTAAAGCAGGGCTGATACCTGTAACACAGAGCTGTTAAAAAATTAAAATGAGATAACATTTAAAAAGTGCTTAGTTTAGAACTGGGCCATGACCTTTAGTAGAGCACCTGCCTTCTGTACTGAAGGCCAAGTTCAATCCCAAATATTGACCAAAAAGCCCCAAAACAAATAAAAAAAAAAACAGTGCTTAGCTTTAAGTCAATTTTTCCCCCTGGGCTTGAACTCATGGCATAGCTCTTGCTATATACCACTTAAACCATGCCTCCATTCCTGCTTTTTACTATTTTTATAAGCTGGTTTTATTTTTAAATTCTTCAAAATGATCATTCTTTCTTTCTTCCTTCTGCCCATACTAGGGCTTAGACTCAGGACCTCTTGTTTGGCTGACACTTTACCATTTGAACCATGCCTCTAGTCCTCTGCTGGTTATTTTAGAAATGGAGTCTTTTTGATTTTTCTGCCTGAGCTGACTCCAAACTGCTATCCTCTGGATCTCAGCCTCCTGAGTAACTACAATCACAAGCATGAGCTACTAGTTACTTAATTAGTAATCTATAATTTGCAAAGTAGCTTCCCTGATCTTCCATAGATACATAATGCTTTTCCCCTCTGAATTATTCAAAGCCATACATATATATACACATATACATCAGACTACTAACTTTCTTAATTCTCATCCTATCTCCAATTGCACCTACCTTCCAGCTCCACCAGGTTGAAGATAATGATAGAAGCAGAAATGACCAATGACTGGCCAGCCTCTAGGCCATTAATTCCTGCTAAGATATTGATGGCATTCGTGCAGAACACTGCAAGCAGCCCCATGTAGACATAGTACAAGATCCCTAGAGGGAGACACAGAATGAACAACAGTGCCAACTAAGAAAGGAGAATTTAAGAATATTCTCTTGAGAATGGAACACAGGATGAAGGACCACCAGAAAGGGACAGAACAGGAACACTTCGAGGAGAATGTGGAACACTGAGATGGGTCCTCTTGATACCTGCAGAGGTTGGAGGGGGTGGGGGTGGGGGGATGTTCTGAAGCATATACCACAGAGGCAGTAGTGCCAGGGCTACTTACCCAAGTCCAGGTGCAGGCCAAGAAGTGGACGTAAAGGCTTGGGTACCACAATGGTCGTGTTGCCAAAGTTGGTGAAATACACCATGAGGAGAGGTAGTGAGGCTGCTGTGGGCAGCAGCAGCTTGTGGCGCCAGCGCAGATTCAATACATCATCCGCGAAGCCCAAGAAGATCATGCAGCAGATGGCAAGGAGAGCACCTATCAGGGCCACAAACTGGGGGAGGCTCGGGCAGGTCATGATTCAAGCCTGCTCCCCCATTCACCTTTCAAGAAGTCCTGCCTTTGCAGTTCTGTCCTCAGCCCCTTCTCCCAAGCCGAAATAACCTCAACTCTCAGGTACACCCCAAACCCCAGCCATCGGCTCCACTAGTCCACTTACTTCATGGTGGGGAAATGCTTTACACTGCTCCTCCACAAAGCAGTTCAGGAAGGGGAAAGGGATGAAGCAGAAGAGGATGATAAGGAAAACAGCTCCGCTGATCACTCCCTGAGACTCTGGGCTGTGGCCCAGCAGCAAGTGGTGGGAAGAGGAAAAGGAAATGGGGCGTGGTCATTCACTAGGGCCAAGGTTACGGTAATCGCGACTGCGGTTCTTTTGTGTTTTGTTTGGTGGGGGAGGACACGGGGAGGACACGGGGAGGAAGGCACCTGAAAGATCCAAGGGTCTCCTCGCATCCCTCCCCCACGCTACTCAGTCCTGCCCACCACCCCCGGAGTTCCAGGGTGCCCGGGCTACCAGCGCTCGGCTGCCCGCCCCCCCTCAGGGGAGCACCTGTCTGCGCCCCGGCCTCCCCCCGGGACACTCGGGCTCCGCTACTCACATTTCCCGCCGGATGGGTTTGTTGAGGTCCTGGCCACAGAGGCGCGCAGCGATAAAGTGTTCACGGAAGGCGGGGATGAGGGTGACCGTGGCCACAAATCCCAGCAGAGAGCCGAGCAAATTCACCATCAGAGGCGGCGGCATGGGCAACTCCGGGAAGGCCCACATGGTGTCCGAACGGGAGCCCCGCTCCCCGGCCGACTTTGCTCACGGGCAATCTGGACAGCGGCCCCGAGGCCTCAGCGGTGAGGAGTGGCGGCTCCCTGCAAGCGGACTATTCCCATCCCAGCCGCAGCCGAACCCCTTCCCGGTGCCCCGACCCGCCCTCCTGACCCCCAAGAGGCTCCGGAACGCAACCTCGGCCTTGACCAACAGCACCTGTGTACCCACTGTTTCCGCCCGGATCTTGATTCGAACGGTACTGTAGTTGCCGAAGGCAGAGGCGCCATCTTTAATACGGGCACTGCCGCCGGAACACCAGCGTTGTCTTAAACTAAAATGTTTGCTCAAATTAGGGCGATCAGTCTAGTTTTGCAAATGTCAATTAAAGAAGGACACTCAAATGCGGCTATCCTGAAATTGTAGTAAAGATGCAGAGCCCAGATCGGAAATTACCCCCCCCCCCTGCCCGGTTCCAAGATGGACGCCTCCTCACGTCACGTGTCAGACCGCCCCCTCCTCCTCCGACTTCCACGTCGGCTCCGGCAAGTCAGATTTAAAGGGCCACGCACTTAACCCGGAACGTTTTGGAGCTTGGTTTACGTCTCTTAATAGAAGTCCGAGGGTGGGCGGAGGGACGGGTGTGTGGAGCTGCACCTGCGCTTAGTTGGAAACCTGTTGCCGTTGCAGTTGGAAGCCGAGGAGGACACTACTCTGTTCCCAGAAACGCAGCTACAACGTGGACGGCTGCTGTAAATTCTAGACTGGTGCAAAGCCCCTCCTCCTCTCTTTTCCTTGTTCTTGATCCAGGTATTTTTTTCCCCTCCATATCCCACCCACCTTCTGCCCCCACTGTAGCAGTCAGTTGCCCGGCAACTTAGAGAGGCAGCTTCACCACTGAAGAGTCCTGGATTCAACCCGGAACTTTTAACTTGATCTTCGATCTTTGCACTGTACCTAGCTCCCAGAATGAGGGGATGGCTCCTGAGACGTTGGAAAGAAATCACAAGACAAAGAGCCTGATGCACACCTACTTTCTGAGAACCTAGAGGTTTCCTCCTCTAGGTTAGTGTACCTTTTGCCTCACGCCTGTTCCCCTACAAGTAACAGTTCACCTGACTCTTCATTCCCTTTCATTCTCCTCATGGACTCAGGTAGCAAATGAATTTCATTACTATAAGGGAGTTAGGGGGATAATCCGATAGCTTGGTACTTTGTCCCTTCTTTCCAATGCGGCATGCCCACGAATCAGGATGAGATCGACTCCTTTAAGGCTGCTTTTCCTCAAAATTAGGTATAGGTCCCTGATACTTGAAGGTAGCTCTAATCAACAACAACCCCCTCTCCTTTCCCTGCCTTTCTTGCTCTCTCGCTCTCTCTTTCTCCCAGTAATTATTTACTTGGTTGTATTCCACCAAATTGTATTTTTTTTCTACATACGTGGTGCTAGCATGTGCATATGCAGATTCCCTGGAGGAAAGTGTTTTCCTTTCCACAAGGTGTCCCCCTGAGGCTAGGGACATAAAGATACCTGTGTGTAAGATTACACACATGGAGTCTGAATCTTTTGCACATAGAAGGTGACAAGTGCACATGAATGGAGTCATCACCCCAGGGAAGCCAGTGGTCCTTGAGGAGGAGTTTTGATCTGGAATGATGTCCATCAGCAGGAGTAAAAGTGGAAGGGCCTTCCAACCCTGGAGAGTGAAATACAAGGAACAGGTGGAAAGGAGGAGCTTGTGGATCCCCAAAGAATATCCACTTGGTTATCTTGTTGATCAGTAGCAGTCTGAGACTCCCGGGAGGCCTGAGAGTCTGTATCTGTTTTGTTTTGTTGTTGTTTTTTGGTCAGGGGCCCAATCCTAATAAACCTTCCTTTTCAATCTGACAAGCCTTAAGATTTCTTTTCTCTGGAAATCATTATCCTACCCACCCTACCCAGGAGGCTGGGAGGACTTGTTCAAAGGCAGGACATTAGGATTCATCATCCATATATGAACCTTACCATCAGAAAATACTTAGTTGGATGCTTGTCATATAATCTGAATAATTACACTCCTGTGACAGTAAGGGCTCAGTGGACTATCAGGCTAATCAGAGGGAGAAACAAACACATGGTTGGATTGAAATTTTGTGCCTATCCTGATAAAAGTTCAAAGCACTTGCCTGAATGCTAAAGTTGCTGGGACTCACAGATCAGCTGAGTTGTCATTGTCCCTGGCCAGAATAGACAATGTCTGAGATGCACATCTGTTAAGTATCCCTGAATGCCTCCCAGTAAGCAAGACCAATTTACTATTAAACTAATTCCCAGACAAAACCTGTCGCAAAAATAGTTTCCAGTGCCTAAAAGACCAAGAGACAGAACTGGATAGTCTGGAATGATGCTTGACATTTGTGTGACCCTGTTTGTGGTTTTGTTCAGGCAGCTGAGTTACTCTTTTTCTTTTTCTTCCTACCTCTCTCCTGTCAATGTAGCTAGCAAAAGTCATTGGCTAAAAGCATGCTGAATTGATTTTTGCTGTTGTTGGTCGTGGGGCTTGAACTCTGGGCCTGGGTGCTGTCCTCAGCTTCTCAGCTCAAGTTCCCTACCACTTGAGCCACAGCACCTACTTCCAACTTTTTTGCTTATGTGGTGCTGAGGAATTGAACCCAGGGCCTCATGAATGTGAGCCAAGCACTCTACCACTGAGCCACCTTCTGAGGTCCAGGAATTGATTTTTGAAAGATGGAAGTGATACAAAAATTGTCTGGTGATAGGCTGGGAAGGTGGTTCAGTGGTAGAGTGCTTGCCTTGCATGCCTGAGGTCCTGGGTTCGATTCCTCAGCACTACATAAGCAAAAAGAAAAAAGCCAGAAGTGGCGCTGTGGCTCAAGTGGTAGAGTGCTAGCCTTGAGCTGAAGAGCTGAGGGACAGCGCCCAGGCCCAGAGTTTAGGTCCCATGACCGGACCTCCTTCCCCCCAAAAAATTGTCTAGTGCCAGTGGCTCACACCTGTAATCCAAGCTTCTGAGGATCCTGGTTCACAAGCCCAGCAAAGAAATGCTGATCTCTAATTTATTAGCAAAAAGCCAGAAATAGAAATGTGTTTCAAGTGGTACAGTGCCAGCCTTCAGTGAAAAAGCTAAGAGAGGGCTTGAGGTTTTGAGTCTAAGCCCCAGTATTGTTGTGCACAATTGAAGAGGATTCTTGGGAAGCTCCATGGTTCCTGAAGAAGGGGTCTTGGTGGAAGAGAGTCTTCTACATACCTGGACTACTAACTGTTCAGCCTGTTTCCCTGGCCTGGCTGCTCTACCCATTGACTGCTTCCTCTTTCATCCCTGGGAGCTGGCCTGAGTTGTCTCCTCCCTGGATTTCAGTCTCTGTTCCCGCTTACGATTAGAAATGGACGAAAGTGGTGCTGGTAGCTCAAGTCTGTAATCCAAGCTACTCCAGAGGCTGAGATCTGTGGATTGTGGTTCAAAGCCAGCCTGGTCAGGAAAAACTGTGAGCCTTTTATCTCCAATTAATCACCAGAAAACCAGAAGTGGTACAGCACTAGCCTTGTGCAAAAGAGCTCAAGGACAGCACCCAGGCGCTGAGTTCAAGCCCCGTGACTGAAAAAAAAAAACAGCAACACAAAAAAAATTAGAAAGAAATAGGTGAATATTTCTCGGTTTTGGAGTCGTGACTATCTGGGCAGGCCACAGCAAAGGTAGCTCATCACCTTTTTTCTTCCCATCATTGTCATTCCTTACAGTAGTTAGCTACCTCAAGCTATTCTACTACCTCTTTTAACTCAATCACATTGCTAAACTGTTGAGTTTCTGCAAACTCAATTTTTTATTCTCTTAAAAAGCTAAATGGGGGCTGGGAAGGTGGCTCAGTGGTAGAGCGCTTACCTTGCATGCCTGAGGCCCTGGATTCCTCAGCACCACATAAGCAAAAAGAAAAAAGCCGGAAGTGGTGCTGGGGCTCAAGTGGTAGAGTGCTAGGCAGCACCCAGGCCCAGAGTTCAGGCCCCATGACCAGACCCAAAAATGGATTTGGAAGGTTTTTTTTTTGGGAGGGGGGTCTGGTCATGGGGCCTGGGTACTGTCTGTCCTTCAGCTCTTCAGCTCAAGGCTAGCACTCTAGCCTTGAGCCACAGCGCCACTTCCAGCTTTTTTTCTTTTTGCTTATGTGGTGCTGAGGAATCGAATCCAGGGTCTCAGGCATGCAAGGCAAGCGCTCTACCACTGAGCCACCTTCCCAGCCCCGTATTTGGAAGATTTGGAAGTTATTTAACATCTTCCCTTTCTACCTGCAGAAGGGACTCTGTGCCAAAGACCTAAGGTGCTCTTGGGAAATGGGGGATCCTTTGGAATCCATGACTGTAGTAGGGTGCCACCACACCCTATATCCCACACTTATCTGGACTAGTGAACTCAGGACTTACTAGTCCAGTGCTCTACTGCTTAAGACTTGCCTCCAGCCTGGCCAAAGCTATTGCTAGTCCAGTGCTGGGTTGCTAGCTCTTCTTTCATTGCTGCCTTCTCTACATGTGCTCCATAGGCAGGAGCTGTTACTATGGAAATGTATTATTTTTAAAAACAGATGTAGCCTCAGGCTTGAGAAATATCTCAACATCAAACCCACTTGAGCAAGGAGGTAAATAGGAGGTGTTCTTAAGTTCTAGCTCCAAAGAGAAAGGGAATGGTGGTGGTGGAGGAAATTCTTCCACTTGTTCTCGACCACGTTCAGCTTCTGCTTTCTCTCCGTTGCTATCAGCTGGACTTTTGCCAGGCCTTTTTATCTGGGAGGAAACCCCTGCACTTCCTTACCCAGAGCCTAGCTTCAGAGAAGGTCTAGCCTGACAGTCATGGGAGAAGGGAGTGATGATTTCCGCAGGGGTCGACTCCTTTTCAACCCCCCAAACTTCCATGTGGAAGTGTATGAAGCTTGGGGGGAAGCAGAGGTGTTAGACCAGGCAGTCAGATCGCTTTGAGCTTGTCTGGGGAGGGGTGCACCCCGACTGCAGGATGGGGCGGGACCGTCAGAGATCCCGCCTAGTTTTCAATCGTGGAACCCGCTGGCCTCGCGGATGTCCTTGCCCCGCCCTCCTCTGACTAGCAGAAAGCCGGGCAGGCTAGGCCCCGCCCGGGGCGGGCGCGGCTCCTTTAAGGGCGGGTGGGGGCGGGGCGTCGGCCGTGTTGTCAGTGTCAGCTCTGCGCACGCAGCCGGAGCCGGAGCCGGAGCCGGAGCCGGAGCCGGAGCCGGAGCCGGAGCCGGAGCCCGAGCCGGAGCCCGAGCCGGAGCCGGAGCCGGAGCCCGAGCCCGAGCCCGAGCCCGACCCGGAGCCCGAGCCGCCCCGCGAGCTCCCGCGCCTCCCGGACCCGTCCCCGCCCGGGGCCTCCAGGGGTCGGGTGCTGCCTGGCTCTAGCCGGGGTCGGACCGCGGGACCCGAGCCACGGAGACAGAGCCCCGGCGTCCCGGCCCCGAGGACCCCGCCGCGGCCGGTGGCGGCCCCGCGTCCAGCGCGCCCGGCCCCGGGGGAGCCTCGGAGCCCGCGCGCCCGGCCCCGGGGTGCCCGCCCCCGCCGCCCGGCCCGCGCGGGCCATGCTCCCCCGGGGCCGCGGCTGAGCCCAGGCCGGGACGCCGGGGCGCGCGCGGAGCATGGATCCGGGCTGGGGGCAGCAGGACGTGGGCTGGGCGGCCCTGCTGGTCCTCTTCGCCGCCTCGCTGCTCACCGTGTCGGGCTGGCTGCTGCAGTACGCCCGCGGGCTGTGGCGGGCGCGGGCCCGCGGAGGCCGGGGCCGGGGCCCCGCCTCGGCCGCCGAGGCCGGGGCTTCGCTCCGCGAGCTCGGCGTGTGGCGCTCGCTGCTGCGGCTGCGGGCCACTCGGGCGGGCGCCCCCGGGGAGCCCGGCGTCCGGGGCCTCCTGGCGTCACTCTTTGCCTTCAAGTCTTTCCGGGAGAACTGGCAGAGGGCTTGGGTTCGAGCCCTGAACGAGCAGGCCTGCCGGGATGGGGTGAGTCGCCCAGACCCTCCGAGTTGGCCCCTTAGGTTTTCCTTGCGGGGAGGGACTGCTGGAGCTTGGAGGGAGACATGGGGGCTGGGGGGGGGGGTAGGGATTAACTGGGGACCCTCCTGTGGGGTTTCTTTTCCTCCCAAATCAGAGAAGAGGGTGCAGGTGAGGCTGGGGATGTGTGTATGTGTGTGCAGAAATCCAGTTATATCTCAAATCTATTTTTGTGGACGAGGTACTCTGGCTGCAACCCGAGCGCAAGTTACTGTTCTCATAGCAACGCTAATCTCTGTGCCTGAGGGCACTTCCGCCTCTTCAGAGTACTGGTTGGGCAAGGGGAGACGGGTGCACCTGCAGAAGGAATTTGCCTGGTCCTCATCCCACCACACCCAGTTAGTGTTTCATGCCCCCCCCCAACCCCCTCAGATTTCCAGTGTGGCCCTAGGATTCTGAATTGCTTTCCTACCCATCAGTACTTTCCCCTCCACTGTCCATGCTTCCCTTCCGTGCTGGCCTGCAATGAATTTGTCTGAGGGGAAAGTGTTCAGTGAAAAGAGCATGTTGTCAATCCATATCCTTTCCAGTAAATGAACTTGAAGCTGCCCCTTGAGGGTCAGCCATAAACCAGCTCAGCCTACTTCCTCCCATTGCACCATGGACTACTGGCCTCCCAGGAAGTGGGCAGGAAGCGTGGTCATGAGACTGAACTTGGGTGGAAAGCCCCCTCCCATCCTGGCCTACCGATCTCTCCTTTGCCTTCAACATCTAGCAGTTCCTGGCTCAGAGTTTTCTCCATTTCTAGCTACCAGGAGCTTGGTATCTTTACCTTACTAATTCTCCAGATGCTTCGAAACAGAAGTGGCCCCAAGAAGCTGCTGTTTCCTCTTCCCAGCTGGCTATCTG